TACATTTTAATGTTTAACACAAGTTCTCTGCTAAGTCAAGTCTTCAGTGGTTTTGTGGTGTTTGTTTGTTTTTCTCTAATCATTTCACCTCTCTCTGTAGGGAATGCAGAATCTCAGTCTGCGTCACAGAAATAAATACTGTGCAACTCCGGGAAATAGGTTTACTGTGGCATGTAATTAACTGCTGCTAATAAGGAGGAAAACACATACGGTGGCATCAATTTTACTTTAGAGGGAGAAATGGTGTAAATATTTACCACATCCTGTCAGTATGATGTGAAAACAATTTCCAATCATTTTGCTTTTCTTTGACTCTATTTAAAATATCAAATGCACGCTTTAAAATGATTGTCACAGTCAAATAATGAATCGACTGGTGTAGCACTATGTGTTTCAAAGAATTTGGAAAATGGTTTTGACTATAAATGTCAGACTTTTAAGTACAGGTTTAGTTAAGTAAGTCTTTAAAATACATCCTTTGCCTCTTACACATAAAATCAATTCAAGTGCTTCCCAGACATAAACACTACCATGAAATAAATCCTTGGAAGAAAAAAAAAATATTTTTGAACATGCCTTCTCTTTCTCACGTAAGTCTGTGTAAACATTTATAAGACAAGCCTCAACTGGAGATGTTGATATGGAACCGCTTAGTCCTTCAGAGGTGTTGGGTGCACAGTACCTGAAACACTATTCAGGAGCATAAAAGAGAACTGAAGGTAAATGACAATCTTGCTCTTAATTTGCGATACTGCACTTCACAGAAACGTGGGGGTTTAAAAGTACCACCACAGAAACAAGCTAAGCACTGTGAGGAGCAGTAGAAGTTGTCCAGTGTTGGGAGCAAGGTTCGCCTCTTCCCTCACTCCTTCCTCCCTCTCCCCTACCCTGTTCCTCTCTCCCAGTCAGCCCTACTAACCTCCTCACCTGCCTTCTCCTTTCCCTCTCTATTTGACCACATTCATCTTTGCTGCTTCCTGATGCTCCAAATCTCCCAGCCCTGCATTTGTCTTCTCAGACATTGTCTAGTTTGACACTGTTGCCTTGGTACCTGGTCTAAGGACACCCAAGGGCCACAGGCAAGTACTTCATCAGTGTAAATAGCCACCTTGACAGCTACACTTCGGTAACCAGCCACAACCGTGTACCCAACTGGAGCAAACGTGGTTTGCTCTTACGAGGAAGGGGCATAAATATAAACCATCCTGCTCATGGTAAGACCACGTACGGAATACTTATTAGCAATTACCTAGTTTGTTGTAAGGCAGATGCTATTTACTTGCTTATTTAAACTTAAATTATACTATGGAACAATGATTGAGTACATTGGTAAGTTAGACTGTTAGGACTGTCTATCAATATATTGTGTCTCAGAACTTAAATGACAAAAGGGAAAACAGATTAAACAGTAGATGAAGTTCATACTTCTGAAAATCCTTAGAAATTCATCATAAAAAAGTAAACAAAGTGATACTTGAGCCATAGCAGTGAAGCATTATCACCTCGTACGTTTAAAAGAATGATGAATTCAAAAATATAAGATACTCGTCTAAACTGATAATGAAAATTTTTGCTGAATTTATTTTTCTTCATCTCATATTCCTATCAGACACACACGTTTGCATTTCATGAATGAATAAAAAACAAATTATTTTTAATTCTTTTCTAATTTAGTAAAACATGTGACTTCTTCTAGGACAATATAGCCAAATGATGGGAAGTCAGTTAATGAAAGAGGAGTAATTTGAAAACAAGTGGTTAGGAATGCCCAAAACAAATTTAGACCTTGATTTAGCAAAGCATTTAAACTTAAGAGTACTTGACCAAATTAGGGTTTCTGGACCATAATTAAATTATTGTAATTAAGAATGGACTCATTCAGAACTGGTAAGTACCTGCTTACAAAGGCAGCTATAAAACTAAGAAGGATGAGTGAAAATTTTTATTAATCATTCTTTATTTTTCTCATTATAATACAAAGCAAATATTAACTTTTGTAAACTCTTTAAGGATACTATGCTACATGCTTTAAGGGACTGAACTCAAACAGAAAGGATCTCAAATTTTAATCTCAGTAGAGATAATAAAAACCTCTATAGCTTTGAGTGCATCACTTAATTTCTGTGACTATCACTGCTTATCTGTCATGTGGCATAATCTCACATAGAGACAGAAAAATATAGTTACACGTACACACATGCCACATAATTAATCTGCTAGATTACAAAATACTTTAAAAAGAGAAGAGTAAATAGATGCCAAATATGATAAACTCATGTTTTATTTACTACCACTTGTTAAGGTACTGCCACATATTGTTAAAAGTAGATATAATTTACCAATTCACTGAAGTATTAAAGGAGCAGCTGTCTTTTTTCCTCCCTTCATCTTCCTCTCTCACTTAACCCCCTGAGCCCTAGTCAATACAGAGCCATTGACAATAATAGTTCCCTGAATTTACAAACTAGTTTCTTGATATTGATTATGCAAAACTAAAAGCAAACAAACAAAAAAATCAAACCCTACTTATTTCACATATATAGTCACAATTAATTCCACCTCCACCACAGAAAGCAATAGTTTAATGAGCACAGAGAGAAGCATTCCCTCATATCCTTTAGAAATCTAACATGAAGTTTACATGGTTGTGGTGAACTGCTGGGAGAAGCTGGCAACATTCAGAGCTATACAGGGAACAGAATTCTCTAAAGGCCCCAGTAAGGCACCCAGAAAACAAGGTTTAATGGGGTGGGGACGTGGTGGAAGGGGGAAAGGTCCTGTAACATGACAGTAACTAGCAGCCAGGAGATTATCACATACACCATTCATGCTCTGTGCTGGCAGAAGGCTATCCATCTGCCGTTTTGATCTTCTATCAGAAAGAACCAGAGCTTCACAAAACAACCTCAAGAACAATGATAACTTGAAATCTGTTTTGTTTCTAGTATCAAAGCAACTTGAAATGAAATGCCACCTGTTCTTGCCCAACCCCAACAGCCTCTCTCTGATCACAGATATTTAAAAAGCTTTCTGCTCTATATCAAATGGCTTCCACTCTATTCAGTGTATCTGTCTTCAGACCTGAAACACATACAAAACAGCACACTGAACCACATCTCAGATGATTATTCAGGAGGATAGCGTAAGTTTGCTATTCCATTTTCTTCATAAGTTTCCTTTAGTCAGGAAAAAGATCGACAAATAAACCTGACAAAAACGTTTCTGACTACACATAAAGGATGCATCAAATTAGCAAATTAGGTAGTCAATCACATACAGAATTGCCTTTTTAACAAGGCCATGTAGTGATAGGACAAGGAGTAATGGCTTTAAACTGAAAGAAGACAGATTTAGATTAGATATAAGGAAGAAATTGTTCACTCTAAGGGTGATGAGGCACTGGAACAGGTTGCCCAGAGAAGTTGTGACTGCCCCATCCCTGGAAGTGTTCAAGGCCAGGTTGGATGGGCTTTGACCAACGCAATCTAGTGGAGGGTGTCCCTGCCCATGGCAGCAGGGTTGGAACTAGTTTATCTTTAAGGTCCTTTCCAACAAAAACCGTCCTATGATTCTGTGATCACTGCATATTAGCATAATAAAAACAAGTAGATAGTAGTACTAAACAATCCCTCTGCTTGAGAAGATTCTCTCCCAGCCAGAGAAAACAGGCTTCCACACCCAGGTAAGTTTAGAAACTATAATCTTTTCCTCTGTTCAAACTCTCAATTATACCTAAACTGAATTTGAATAAAAAAGTGTTATTTTTGTTAATGCTAGCTGGTATTGAAATTTAACTACCTTAATGTATTATATGTCTAGTTTTTATCCCTAAATCTATTCTCCTGGCTTAGGTCTTAATGATGATCAGAATGTTCCTAAAAACGTGCATTAAAAAAAAGAAAATAAAAGAAATCATCTCACTGTGTATTTCAAATGACCTCTGTTATTCCAACTTTACAGTACAATGCATACAATAGAGAGACAGTAGAGAGAGTTAAATACTTCCAGAAGGCAATTTGGACCTCATACTGAGAATTACTTTGTAAGTAATTCTAGCTCTAGTCACTTTGAAGATGACTACTTATCTTCATCCTTTAAGCCGGGAATAAAAGCACTACTCAATTAGCAGCCTCCAGTCAGGTGACCTGAATCTCTTTCCTCCTTCTTTAACAGGGATTCACTTCTCCCTGTGTTAACAAGGACTTGATGCCCTTCAGCAAAACGTCTGTATATTTCGTCTTTTTTTTCTTTCCCCCTCTCCTTTTTTTTTAAAAAATGCGTTAGCTAGACAGGCTGTTCATTTGGACTGTATAAGCCATAGACATTTCTCTTTTTTTTCTAGAAGCTTCAGTTTTGGTAAAGATGTTTCATCCTATAGCAGGAATTCGGATCCAGAGACCTAAAGAACATTCCACTGCTCAAGCTTGTCACAAACAGATAGATTTACTTTAAGTATTAACAACAACTGACATTGCCATGGAAGACAGCTAATCAGAGAAAAAAACAAGAGCCATCTGTAAAAATTCTACTGTTCAGTTAGAAAGATGAAAAAAGTATTACAGAATCTCTGCAACAGGCAATAGATTTTGGTCACCAGCAGGAAACTAGAACATTGCTTTGTGTGAACATGTCAATACAGACATTCATAAACTAAATACTTCACACTGCTTTTGTTTATTTAAAATCAAAGACATCAGACAACTTCTTAGGCTTTGAATCTCCTCTTCCTGGCCTCAGAAAACAATTTAATAAAAAGCACTGTCTCTGTTATGTTACAGTGGTTTGCAAAAAAGAAAAAAAGAAGCAAGCAAAATAGATTATATTTTGAAATTGCATTATGGTATTATGTCTATCTTTGATGTTTTGAGCTCTTTTCAGTATGGTGAGAAGGAAATGATTCCTTAGAATCACAGTAATAAAGGCAGCTATCATACTCCTATGTTACTTCAATACCGTATTAACTCTAATACTTTAGCTAACTATAGTGAAATAAAACTTACCTTAAAAATCAAGTCCTTTTTCCCATAACGAAGCTCTTTCAGCTGGGCTTGGATCTTTTTCGACTGAAAGTAAGGATAATAAAATCAGGGGTCTTTTTATTTTAAGGATTTACTTTTAAGATCAGAAAAAAAAGCAAGTTCTGACAACAGCAGAAACTAGATCAGCTTTAAAATGCAGAAAATTAACCAAAATCAAAGTCAATTGCTTTTCAAGGGTAGTATGTCTAAACCAGGCAAAAGTATCAAGGAAAATGTGAATATACATGAGGTAGCGCTATTGTGAAAAGCCATTTGGCTTACACATTTGAGACATGAGATGTTTATTAACACTTTCCATGAAGCATAATTGAAAGCATCCCCTTAAAAAAAAATAATCTTTTTTTTTCTTACAGGGAAAAGGTTTCCCTAGTGTTGCACAAGTTCTTCTTTGTAATGACCAGGGAGTTCCATACAGTATCCAAGTGAATAGGTTCTCAGTTTGTGACCATGTCCTCTAAAATAAACATAATTATGCTAATTTATATCAGCTTCAGCAGACATTTATTTTAAATACGCTTAAATTTATCCTTAAAATAATTTCAAGTAATGGTCTATACATTCTTTTATTTATTTAAATAAAATATATGGAAATTATTGTTTTATACTACACTCAAATATCCAAGGAGTATTATTTCATCATTTATCAAGAATCCTGTCGAAACCATAATTTTGTTTTATTAAAATCCAGAGTCTCAACTGATATTCAATAAGTTTTATCACCTTAGTTAAGGTCAAATGTTTAGAACTCCTTGGAATAGATCAGAAGTCTATTCCACATTTAGTGAAACAGCACATCCATAAACATAACATATTACAGATGGTAGTATATCTTTCATAAATTAGAGCTTTTGGAACGATCTGATGTCTTTCCAATTGGTGCAGAAAAATTCAATGACAGACTTTTGGGAAAGATGAATGAATCTCAAGACAAAACTTCAGCACTTGCTCTAAATATTTAAGAAGTAAGGTCAAATTGGTGATTGTGTTCCATAAAATCTGAAACAAAAAGCCAAGATCAGTTTACTGCTTTCTTCTGTAACTGTATCTGCTGTTACTTCATGTACACAGCAGAACGTGCCAATTGCCTGAACTCAATAGCGCTGTCCTCTGATCTGGACAATGCAAACAGTAGAGCTATGGAATATATCCTACACCAATTAAAGACCAATAAAGAAACCTTAACCAATTTGTTATAGGAGTTGTGCTTAAGAAAGCATATGGTCTCTGTGACGTACAAGGTATCCAAAATAGCTACACAGAAGAATCTGAAACTTACAATGAGGTATCGCTCACTTGCCAAATCACAAACCTGTGATGAAATTAAGAGTTATAGAGCTAAATGTATTCAGTGCATAATATAAGTAACTCAAAAGCACGTATAGAACCTGTAATCTTTGTGATAAAAGTTGGTTGTTGTGTTGTTTTTCTGCATTTCTAGGGAGAAGACTTACAAAACTGATACCTTTTAGTGCAGTCAGCTGGATAAGATCATCACTAGGTTGATAGTGATCTCTAAACCACCTCGTCTGGGAATATTTCACTGACATGTGTCCCTTTCTGTTGTCCTGGGAAATCTGAGGTTTGTACCACCCTGCCTTCCTCTCTCCAAGGGTTTAAATTCTTGGAGATGAAAAGCCAGCTACATAACCTGCATAGGATCACAAATGTGCTCCCATCTATGCAACTGGACAACAAGGAAACACAGGGCTCACTAAAACTGTTTGCATGCAGTCAGAGACCAGAATGAAGCAGGAGCTTCCTAGTAGGCAATTCTACCCATGAAGGGTATATGATCTAGTAACTAAAAGGATACTGATTTCACACATTTTGTTATGCTTGGTGAGTGTACTACTTAATTGAAGAGCAAAAAATACGTTGTGTTTCTTTGGCTGACACCACCTAACTGGCAAAACAACAACAAAAAAGGATGCTCCTGTAGCATTTTGCTTCTTTTAATGCTACTAACCCACTTAAAAGTCACAAATTTGCCAGGATGATTCATAAAGTCCAAGATTCTTCAGGTTTAAAATACACTCACAATCTGCTGCCTTGACAGTTAGCTAGCTTACATTTAGTTTTCTGAAATTCTCTGACAGCGAGACTTGTCACACTACACTAAATTTAATTTAATCTTAGGCTCTGCCCTTAGATTTAAAGACATTTATGTTGCAAATACTAAAGGAGACATAATCAGGGAAAGATCGAGTTAATTACCAAACATTCAAGATGTCACATAGCTTGGAAAAACAAACTTGAAACAGAGGGGAGAACAGAAATCTATGTTGAACACACTATCAACTTTTTAAACAAGAAACAAGGGAAGAAAGTTTATTTGTATTCATATACTGTGGTATGTTGGAAAGCAACAATGGTGATACAGAAAGGTAACAGGTTTTGAAAAGCGAGAAAAAAAAATTCTCTAAACCCCTATTATTTCCTACCATTAAGGATTTCTCACTAACAGTGATCACAGATCTTCTATAGGAACTGTAGGAACTATACAGGCTATAGGAACTATACTAGTTCCTAACTAGTATAACTAGAAATCACTACTTTGACCTTAGAAGTTTTGACCTCTAAGTCAAGAAGTAGAGAACTTAATGAAGAAAACACGTTCAATCATTATTATGAGAATTTTAGTCAAGAAGAAAGTGTTACACTTCCGTTACATTCTGGTGAGATGCAATGACTTTCACACAAGTTATATATGCCAAAAACCATGACTAAAGTGATGTAAATGAGTAAATCAGATTCATATATAGTAATATCCTCTTTCATGAAAAGTTAAATAGCTAAAGCGACTGCTCTCATGAATGCAGTTACTTGTACATTTACATATTTGCAAAAAAAATACGGCTTTTGTATCATCAACTATCCTCGCTAGCTCATTCTTCAGCAGAGATTTCTTTCCCTGTATCTTACAAAGGGACTCTTTCTTCCTTGAAGTTATGAAACATTCTAGGAATCAATAATAATAAATCTTTCCTGTCTCTATATATTATTTTTAAAAAGGCATTTAGCTATTCCTGTCTTACTCTAGGCATGAAGATCATAGCAAGGAAATCAGTTTTGTGTGTGTTATAGGTGTATAATAAACACCTACAGAGCTATATAAGCTTTTCATAAGCATGCCCAAACTTGATTTGTCGAAAACCTGAGTTTGCAGCTTGCTTTCTAATATGTTTGACTTGCTTCTAGTGAAGTCACAGAAATGAGTTGAGAGCATTTTAAGAACACTTACCATACATGCATAATATATAACCTATACCAGAACCTCAGTACAAAAACTTCTTTTGGGTATGTTAGATTTAGAATAGAGAGGAATCTTACTTACCTCTTCTGCATGAATACCACAAAGCTTGTTTCCTGAGAGGAGTTTGTTTTTGAGGCTTTTGTTCTGAGGGGGGAAAAAAAAATTACAATTTTATTACTGAGAGTTACTGAAATATTAAGGGACCCTTTAAAAATCTGATCATATTGATTTTATTTTGCACATGGAGAACACCTTCAAGTTGCCAACAAACACAGATAAGACGACAAGATAGATGCATGATGGCACAATATCCTCTCTTACAGAATTCTAAAAGGCTATGACTATGCATTTCAACCTGCTTTCACAGGAACAAGACTGCACATAGAAACCTTCCAAAACACTCCAATAACTGAAAGCAACTTAGATTGGATATGTTGAGGTAGGAAAGGAAAGAAAAACCCCTCTATTTCTTACCTGGCGTCAACTACACAGCTCAGTATCATTTTCAGTAAATCATCATAACAACTGAGTGATAAGGCCGAGATGTCATCACTCGACTTTGATAATCAAATGGGCTCAGGATGTGGCGAGGGAGAACAAATGACATTCTCACAACTCTCATAGTCGCTGATTTTTTGTTCTATACTTGAAAATGATATGGACTCATGGGCTCTGCACAAAGGCAATTGGGTAGCAGATACAAGATGAACAAAGATAAACCAAATAGAAACCAGAGAGATGCAGCACACTCAGTACATTTATTGCTCACTATGGGAACATCTAAAGAGGTATACTGTACTATGATGACACAGTCAATGCAACCAGTTTCACTTAAAAGACCAGCACCACCTCTTGGGGTGATGGCCAAACAGATGAGCCAAAGGCACTGCTTCATGAGAGAATTGCACTTAATCAACGCAGGAAGTTAAGTCATCACTCTGTTTTGACTAACTAGCTTCATTATCCTCCAGTCTCCCCACGGCCTGGCAATGGCTGCTTTACGTACAAACTCTATCCATATTTCAGAATCGAAGTAAGTATGAGCTGTAATCCTGACGGTTTTGCTCATTTATCTTGCTTTTGCCAAGCATAAGTGACTATAAGAAATACTATTAACGCATGGTTTGCAAGTAACTTCTACACATGCTGTTTTGACAAGTAACCCAGAATGTGAACAGCTGAATGGCTACTACCTCGAAAAGACACACGTTGTGTTAGATGGTTGCCACAATTCCCACATTTTGTGTCAAAGTAGCCTGGCAAAAGAATACAATTTAAAAACAAAGCTCAATGAAAATATTTTAAGCTAGGAGAGGGACTCAGTTTTGGAGATTGTCATGGTTTTTGGACTGAGGGTCGAGACAAGAACCGAGAAGGAGCACTCACCAACCATGGTCCCGGGCAAAACATGGCTTTTTTCTTGAAACAAAACAATTTATTAACAGTTACTTAACAAGAGACAAAAGGGAACGAGACCGGTTACTTGAGAAAGAGAAAACAAGGCCAGATCTTAAACACAACAACCTCCCCACCCCTCTTTCCTTTTGTTCCCGGCTCTACTTCGCCCCCAGCGGCGCAGGGGGACAGGGAATGGGGGAGGCAGGTCAGTTCATCCATGTTGTTAACTGCCGCTCCTTTCTTAAAGGAGGAGAAGTCTTTACACCATTTTTTCCTTGATTCAGTGGATCCCCTACTCACGAGGAAAAAATTCCCTAACTTTTCCAGCTTAAGTCCTACCCACAGGATTGCAATCCTTCCCCATGGATTGCACCAGTTCGGGCTTTACCAGTCTCAGCCTCTTAGGGAGCTGCTGCCACTCGCGTCGGCGTGGGTCATCCCACGGACTCCAGATGCCTCCACGACCTCGTTGCGCATTCCATGCCCATTATTAACAGTACCTCATCATGCATCCCCATGCTCCACGACCTCTCCTGGGCTCAGGCATCTCTTCCCCGACGTGGGTTTCTCCACGGGCCACGAGTGGGTCTCTGCTCCGCCGAGTACACCCTGGCTGCAGGGGGGCCGCCTGCCATCTTCACACCGATTTGCAAGGGAAAACTTCAGCTCCAGCACACCTCCATCTTGACTGACCTGGTCGTTGTGGTT